TTAAAATTAAAAAAAACTTTGACCTTAAATTTCGAGGTCATAATGGATTTTGTGGTCGATTTCTTTTGCAAATGTCCACCGATCCAGATGTGTACAATAACCCCTGAAAGTGGTGACCATTAATTTTTGTACACCCTGTACATAATCCATAAAATGGATCGAGTGAGTGTAACGAGCTATAACTTCGTTACGGGTGCATTTAGACAAAAATGTCAAAGAAAAAAGATGAATGGTTGAAAGTGTACTATATTTGTAGAGCGATGCTTTTTTTATAAGTGCAATGGTATACACGGTCTGTCTAAAAAGAAACCGAACTTTTGCTATTAAAAGAAAAAAGTACAAGTAAAGTTTTTACCCACACGTTTATTTATTCAAAATAATCTCCCTCTGCGTTAATACAGCGTGTAGACCGCGTAATTAACATTTCGAAGGACCTTTGCAGCTCCTGTTTTGGTAGCCCGTTTAGTACGGCGATTACAGCGACCTGAATCTCCGAAATGTTGCTATAATGTGTCCCTTTCATTGGAATTTTCAATTTTGGGAAAAGAAAATAATCACAGGGAGACAGATCAGTCGAGTAGGGTGAATGATCCAAGGTAACAATGCCAATTCCAATGAAAGGGACACATTATAGCAATATTTCGGAGGTCGCTGTAACCGATATCCTGTACTAAACGGAGTACCAAAACAGGAGATGCAAAGGTCCTTCAAAATGTTAATTAGGCGGGCTACACGCTGTATTGACGCAGAGGGAGATTATTTTGAGTAAATAAACGTGTGTGTAAAAACTTTACTTGTACGTTTTTCTTTTTATAGCAAAAATTCGGTTTCTTTTTAGACAGACCGTGTATGTGCAATCTATGGTTGCATTGTTTTTTTTTAAATGGACATATAAAAAGACAATAAACAAAAATACGAGTACACTCGTGACTGTTAAGCAAAATGTTAACAATTATACATTTCTTAGATGAAGGTAAACCAATCGACGCAACCCAGGAAATGCTAGCGTTGGGTGCGTGCAACGTCGTATCGGCTTTCGTTTCGTCCATGCCTGTCAGTGGCGGCCTTAGCCGTGGAGCGGTGAACCATTCGTCCGGAGTGAAGACTACACTCGGCGGGATCTACACTGGTCTTCTAGTACTCATTTCACTTCAGTTCCTTACACCGTATCTGTATTTTATTCCTAATGCCGCTCTCGCAGCGATCATCATCGCTGCAGTCATCTTCATGGTGGAGCTACACGTCATCAAGCCCATATGGCGAACTAAAAGTATGTCCAGAGTCTACTTTTTCTTTACATTGTACAATAGCGAAAAATGTTAGAAAAGAATCCTTGGAATGTGTAACACTGTTTGTTCAAGAGATATTTTTACCTTGTTGGATTAAACAAAAATTTTTTTTTATTTTATAATAGGATGTACAGACTTTTCTCAAGAGTTGGCGAGTTATATTTCCAAATGTTTTAACAAAATAATATACATTCTTGCATCATGGAAAATGTTATGGAAGGCCTATACTATACTTTTTAGCAATTAGAATTTTCGAATTATGCATATGTAGATAGTTATTACATTTTGAAAATAATCAAGAATTCACAAATTTTTTTTTTATTCTAAGCCTTTATTAAGGAATTTGTTATACTTCCCTGTGCGTCCCGGGACTCATTTTGATGTTATTAAATGCGCTAGAGCTTTGTGATCATAGTAAGACCAAAATTGGTTCCAACTACATCAAACTACAGTTTTTAAAGCTATTTGAATTAGAAACGACACAGGAATTTTTATAAACCATTTTTATGAAGTAAATGAAATGTTAAACTTATAAAAAAATTGTTGTTTATTTTTAATAATTTTTTTCAAGGTTATAGCCACGTGAAATTTGTTCTTTTCTCTCATGGTTGATACGATAAGTTGACATTGGATCAACGGAAATCGAAAAATAAAAAAGATTATTAAAATGTAGTTTTGTCGCTATCATGCGTAATGAAATGAAATACCACAGATTGAAAAAAAAATGGCGATAGTTTAAAATTTGTTAACACTTTTTTTAATTTTAATCATTTAAAAATGTGGTTAAACATTAATGAATAATTATAATTTTCATTCAAATTTAATAACTTTTTGGCATACAAGTCGGCCATATTGGATCTGCCATTATGTTTTTTTAAATTTTGATTACAGATTCAAATTAGCGGGCCGAAAAAACCCGGTATATGAAGTTTCATACAAATCAGAACTGCCTCGTTAACTCTCGAGCAAAGGACTACACCTTTAAGAATTCACAGTTCAAATTTCATTAAAAAATCCTTGAAATTAACCGTATAACGGTTAACCGTAGTTAATTCTCATCTTACACTTGCTACCTGTTATGGCCGAAACTGTTAATTGATATATGCTGTTTTGAACAATAATCGTAACTCGATTAATAAAAAATGTCAGAAATCGAATTACATGTTACTATGTTCTATTTTTCAGAAATTGATCTCATACCAGCAGTAGCCACATTTTTATGCTGTCTTTTCATAAGACTCGAACTCGGTATAGTGATTGGTATCGGTATAAACGTCCTGTTCCTACTTTATGCTTCGGCAAGGCCGTCGTTACGAGTTCACAAAGATACGGTAAGAGAACTTACATTTTATAGCACGCATATTAATTTACTTACAATTAGTGATTAACAGACTGCGGATGTTTATACATTTATGGGAAAAGGAAATATGGAGAATTCTAGAAAAATGTGAACAAATGCAAAACTATGTAAAATATTAACAAGAATATTCATGTTATATCATTTAGAAAATAAGACATACAGTCTAACTTCAATTATCCGAATTAATTAATAGAATATTTTTTGTAATTTCTTGATGTTAATTTTCATATATGAGCTGTTTATTGTGAAAATGGCATAAGTCACTTCGTCTTTAAATCGAGATATTTAATGATTAAACAGATATAATTAAATTGTAATTGGGACATGTGACACTTTCAAAATAAACGACTCAAATGTATCTCAAAAAATAGAATGTAAATATTGTTAACAGATATCACAAATACTAAATTTAAACATAATTTGATTAAAGTTGTAAAGATTCCATATTCATTTACCTGCTAAGTAATGAAGTCCTAATTTTTTTTCTGTATCTATAAAAATATGAATTTACATAAACATTCGCAGTCTAGTGATCAAGAATAGAAGGAACTTCAAATTAATGATGCTGTCCAGATGCTGTTCCAAATATTACATACATATCACATCTCATATGTACAAAAAATATTGTATTCCTAATATTGAATAAACATTTTGTTTTACATGTTCAAACATATATTCTGTTGCGAATATTAGATAAATATGTGTTTTATCTACGGAAAAAAATATTCTGTTGCGAATATTAAATAATGATTGTATACCCAGATAGCACAGGAACAGAAACGTCTTATGTACGTCCATGGAACGTCCGGTGCTGGACATTCCCAGAACGTTTTCTGTACGTTCTCTATACGTCCATGGGACGTCCGGTGCTGAACATTTCCAGAACGTTTTCGTATTAATTAATTAATATTAATTTACAATTGTAAATAGTGTATTTTATATTCGGAAAAAAATATTCTGTTCTACATATTGAATAAATATTATATTATAAAGAATATTAATAAATAATATTTATTTTGTTTAAAAAAAAGTATTTTTTCCTAAATCTAGAAAGTTCAGAGCGGACATCCCTGGGACGTACAAAATTTAGGTCCCATGGACGTTCGTAGGACGTTCCGGGCAGACGTCCTTGGGACGTACAGAATTTAGGTCCCATGGACATTCGCAGAACGTTGCGGCCGGACGTCCCTGGGACGTACAAAATTTACGTCCCATGGACGTCCTAAGGACTATCTGGAGGTGTACGAAAATAAGCGATAATGATAAACTTTGATTTTGGTAGACACATTTTTTCTTCCATTTTTATTAATTCGAGTATAATATAATACTTTAAATTGCAGAGTATAAACGGGTGTGAGTATCTCGTCATAACGCCTGACAGAAGTCTTGTTTTTCCGAGTGTTGAGTACGTGCGAGCTGTAATTAGTAAGCAGGGTACGAGGCAAGGAATCGCAGTACCTGTCGTCATAGATTCTACGCATATTCAAGCAGCAGATTTTACGGCCGCAAAAGTACGTTTGTATCAAGCTTTGTTTTATTTTGTAAGCACCATTTTATTTTGTTTAAATTAAATGAAAGAAGTTATCTCCTATGTTATGCACATTATTTTTTAGCTCTTAAATTGCTCTTTCATGTCGCGTATTTAATACTACTAAACAATTACATATTTTCCATTTTATCAATTTAGAAAAATCCTAGGAAAAAATTGAAACTTATTAGAAAACAACGTAGGAAGGAGGAAAAAATCGGAAAAATCTTCTGGTTCACTTTAATTATTGTTCTAAAATTAATATAAATTGTTTAGGGTGTGAAGAATTTAACGGAGGATTTCTCTAAACGTGGACAGCCCTTAATCTTTCATAATCTAAAGCCGAGCGTCATCGAAATTTTCAAGGGCGTGAAACCTTCCGGTTTAAGGTGTAGTTCGAACGAACTCGAACTTGACGACTGCCTCAAAGGTAACTAAAATGTCATTAATTATCCAACATGTTGTAAAAGTCTAATATCAATTGGTTAATGCTGATTAATAATGGTTCAATTTATTTATTCATACTAATGTCAAAGTTAGATATTATACGATACATAGAAATTGAAAAAGTCAAGACATCGCGCATGTATAAAATGGGCCACCTAGTATGAGTTCACCAAGAATAACTTATAAATGATGTATTGTATGAAAATTGCAAAAGTTGTATAGTTTCTGTGAGAGTTGGTTTTGGTATGCATGGGGAGTGTGTTAAGTTGGTATGCGTGGAACAGTGATGGGCAAAACCCTAGGGTTCGAATAAATCTGACGTTTGCCGACATGTTTATCTTGTTTCCTCTTTTGAACATTTTCCAAAGAAGGAAGCGAGACAAACACGTCGGCAAACTTTAGATTTATTCGAAAGCCTAGGGTTTTGCCCATCTCTAGCGTGGAGAGTGAGTTAGGTTGGTATGCGTGGAGAGTGAGTTAGGTTGGTATACGTAGAGAGTGAGTTAGGTTGCTATGCGTATGAGGAAAAAAGGTACTCCCGTGCCTTGTACGTGCTCCTACGGACTCACACAGCTCTACAGCACTGTATACATACACGGAACTGCAAGGGCTTGCGTATTGTCCTATTTTTGTCTCGACAATGCAAATTTGAGACCTCTCAATAATCGTTTCCGCTAGATAAATGTTTAAATTTGTTCGCAAGCTCCTATAGGTAGTCTACTTTTGCTTTTTTGTGTTATAATTAATGATATTCAGCAGTATTTCGAAATCAAAAGAAGCAATATTGTGGTGCGACAGTGCTGCCGCGTTGTTTGAGCTAACCATTGACCTCTATTCTAACCGCAGTGTGAACTGTGAGAGAGAAACCGGTCCGAGAGAGATGCAAGATGAGTGGTTCCGGTGGTACTATCCTCTAGCAAATTTATGTGTGGAGGGAGAACAGACTCCTCTTTGTTTGAATTTCGCGGCACTAGGAATTATTTACAGATTAATTATGTGCAGATTTGAACATTATTTCCTTTTAATTATTTATATATAAAACGATAGAAACATTAATAATAATGACATAATAATGAAATAGTATACATAATTTAGATACCATGATTTAGATCATACAAATATATACAATTTAGTATAAAGCTAAATTTTATTATTTGTCACAATTCAATTTATATTGTATTTATCCAATTTTATGCGGAAATGAATCTGAAAGTAACTCACTCGACAATGGTCAGCGATGCCCGGGTAGGTTATGTTACGACGTACGTTTGTTCCCCTCTACAAGTAAATTTGCTATAGGATAATACCGGAACCACCCATTTTGCATTTCTCTCGGACCTTCGTCGCCTCTACTTCTTCTTACAGGAGTACACACTCCAGTTAGGATAGAGCTCAATGGAGCTAACATACGCTGCTGAATATTGTTAATTATGGCACAAAAAAGCAAAAGTAAACTACCTATAGGAGCTTGCGCACAAGTTTGAACATTTATCTAGCGGAAACGACTATTGAGAGGTCTCAAATTTGCATTGTCGAGATAAAACTAGGACAATACGCAAGCCCTTGCAGTTCCGTGTACGTATACAGTGATATGGAGCTGTGTGAGTGCGACCAGCGCATACAAGGCACGGGAGTCCACTCCCTTAATATTCTAATCCATTATTAAATATATTAATCACATAAAATAATTTTTTGAAAAAAAATATAACCAACTTCGAAAAAATATTAAAATTGCACTAAAAAGTATGAAATAATTATTATTTCATTTATATTAAATGATATTCAATAATATATTAAATTTCTATTTTCTTTATATTATATTATGTTAAATAATCTTTTCGTAGTCGGCGCAAAATTAAAAAAGTTTAATTCCTGGTTGAGTTAGTTTTTGGTGAAGACGCAATGTTGAATGCTTTTAATGTATACATGTATACTGTTACGTGAAAGTCCAGGTCGGTTCCCTGGGCTTGTTGATGGCAATAGACTTCCCCAGAAAAAGAGGATCCAAAAGCAAAACTCCCTACAGTTGCTCAAGACTAGAGTTTTACGTGGTTTCCGAGTACTTGCCTCGATGAAATGTAATAATAGAGAGGGCTTATCTTTCCATTCTCTTTCCTGGTCGACTGTGTGAGGGTTTGTTAGAATAAGAAACGGCAGCTTTGGCCGTATAGCCGAGGTACTGTTCTATGGAACGCTCAGCCAGACAATAAATGTCTACGTGGAAGTACTGTCTGAGTAGATTTGGAACAGTTTTTGGTAGAGGCGCCGATGGAGAAAAGTCTTAATGTATATGATGTCTAAAGTAGATATGATGATAGCAATAATTTAAGGGCATAAGTTTTGTCCCTCCAACAGAAAGTTAAACCGAATTTGGTAATTCTTAATGTAAGTAATTTTTAATTTTGCACCGACTACGAAAAGATTATTTAACATAATTTAATATAAAGAAAATAGAAATTTAATACATTATTGAATATCATTTAATATAAATGAAATAATAATTATTTCATACTTTTTAGTGCAAATTTAATATTTTTTCGAAGTCGGTTATATTTTTTTTCTAAAAATTATTTTATTTCACTCTTTTTAGTGGCAATCTATAACCAATAGGTTTCATGCAATAACAATAGTTATGAGCAATATACAGGATGTCCCAAAATCGTTGGAGGTCCTTGAAAGGGGTGGTTCCGGGGCGGGTAGGATGGTTACTTGCCTATAAAAAATTGTTTCAAATCACCCTGCGAAACACCCCATTCAAGGACATCCAACATTTTTAGAACACCCTGTATAGTTGCAAATGAGATTATCAGTAATGCTGGAAGGTTATACAAATATGGAATTAATCGGGATCGGAATCGGAATTAATTAATGAACCAAGGAAAACAATAGGAATTTTGCAATAACAATTTTTATTAACTATAAAAAATAGGAATTTTACAATAACAATAGTTATAGACAAAAAGAAAAATCACTTTTACAAAGTTATTACCTCGAAAACGAGTCCGGCAGCAAAATGTAAAGGATTACATCGATTTCATCGAATTCAGGCCAAACATACGTGAAATAGTATAATTTTCGATAAAAAGTGCAATAAAATGGTGAAAAATGGAAGTAGGTCAAATGTCTTTTTAAGCTTTTAAGAGGCAACGAAGCTCTACCACATGCAAGAAGATTCAATCCGATTGGTCAATTCGTTTCAAAATAAGAAGCAATACAAAATATTTCAGTTTTTTGCCCAAAAAAACGGGTAAAAAGTGAAAAATTCCAAAATTTTTTGACAACTGCACCACCCCCGAGACATGATCTACCAGATGCAGGAGGTTTCATCCCGATTGGTCAAGCCGTCTGGACGTAATCGAATAACATACATAAAAAAAAAAAATACATGTCGAATTGAGTATAACCTTCTTCTTTTTGAAGTCGGTTAAAAAAGTGTCCAAATTTGTTCCACCTTCCCACAAGTTGGTAGCAGAGGTCCGTGGTTGAAAGATGTGTTAAATAAAATATAGAATCTGAGTGAAAGCAAAAAAAAAAGGAGAGAAATCAAGACAGATACGTGGAATATCGCAAGCATTGAACCACTCGATGATACTAATTATTTTTTGTGGAGCGAAAAAGAAGAAAGTATTTTGCGTACAAAAAAGCTATGGAAAAAAGTAATAGGGGTCAGAGAGATTGTGAAACCAGAGGAAGGTGAAGAAAATTACGAAAGAAAATTGAGAGAATGGAATGAATGGGATGACAATAACTACGCAGCTAGAACAGTAATGATCAACACAATGAGTAAGGCTCAATTGTTAAAATACAGTAGTATAAAAAACGCAGATAGACTGTGGGCTTTAATTAAAAGAAACATGGCAACTGAAACATAAGAATTAAAAGCAAGGTTGCTAAACGAGCTGTCAAATTTAAAAATGAAAAGGGAAGAAAATGTTGATGCTTATATGTATAAATAGGGGTGAAGCACTACAAAATCAGTCTATACAATTGGGAAAGATGATAAAAGATTTTGAGTTAAAAATGTATATTTTAAGAGGGCTCAGACAAAAATATGAATCGAATGTGAGGGTGCTGGAAATACAAAAGAATGTAACAGTTAACGATATATGTTTTGCTCTCAAACTGGAGGAAATTAGAAGGGAATCAAGAAAGAAGAAAGATTCCACAGAGACCAAGAATCAGTGAGAAAAGTAAAGGATGGGTCCAAGAATAATATCCATTGTTTTAATTGTGGGTTAACAGGGCATATAGCCAGTGAGTGTTACAAAAATAAATGCTGTTATAACTGTCAAGGATTTAATCATGTGGGTACAAACTGTAGGGAATTCAGAAAGAATGTAACTCCTACAAGAAGAGGATATAGAGAAAATTTTCAAAGAGGATTACAAGAAAGACCAAGCAGACAGACTAATGTAAGAGTAGAAACCTCATTGCGAACCACAGATGAAGCTGTGCGAAGAGTTAATGAAATTTCACAAACAAAAGCGACTTGTGAGGGAACTAAAAAGGAATTTGAGGTGGGTACAAATGATAATTGGCATATTTGGTTATTGGATTCTGGTTCCACGAATCATATGGCCCATAACAAACTAATATATAATAAATTGATTGAAGAAAGATAGAAATTGCACTAGCAGATAAAGAAGGAAAAACATTAACGTCTGAGAGTATTGGTGAAGTAGTATTAAGACAATCTGGAACAAAGAGAAATGTGAGACTTGAAAAGGTATTATGCGTGCCTGATTTGAACACTAATTTGCTTTCTGTAGCTAAAATAACAGACCATGGTTATAATGTAAAATTCAATCAATTTGGACTCTGATATATAAAGAATTTTATGAGCGCTAGAGATTAAAAACCAAGGGGAGAGAGTGTGAGAGTTGGTTTTGGTATGCGTGGAGAGTGAGTTAGGTTGGTATGCATGGAGAGTGATAGGTGGTATACGTGGAGTGTGAGTTAGATTGGTATGCGTGGAGAGTAAGTTAGGTTGGTATGCGTGTGAGGAAAAAAGGTTAGAGTGAATCAAGTTAAAAAACAATTAAAAGTGTCCAAATTTGTTCCACCTTCCCACAGTTTCAAGGAAGCCTAGACAAAAATATATATAGACAGGTAACTTTTGTTTAGAACAATTCTTTATACAACACATAATTTACAAGCTATTCACGGTAAACATATCATGTGCCCCATTTTTAATATCTACTTTTACAAACTCTTTAAAAAAATCATCTGTTTTCAGAATTTTCCAACATTCTAACAACTACTACGAACAGGTATTGACATTGCTTATATTAGATATTCATGGAAATTCCGTCCTGCAACTACTCTCTTTTACCTTATAAGCATCGGTATTATATCATGACGAACGATAATATAGACAGTAATACTATAAGCAGAGTACCTAACGTCTCTAGTAATTATTTAAAAATATTATATATAGTACAGTAAATATCAAATACATACGAAAAATGTAATTTGAAGAAAATTCGTAATACACCGATGTTGTATTGAAGAAAATTATTCAAATATGATTATACTTGAAACAAAATTAATTAAACTCAATCACAGTCCGCACTTCTAGTTTCATGTCATACATATCTGCATCTATATTTGCGACTTAAATGAAAAAAGTGTAAATCATTTTGTAAAACACCATTTTATTTTAACGGCAGAACTTTTGGATTAATTTTTATTGTGTACGTAGCTAGTAAAGTGAAGATAGGCATTCAGTGGTTTCATGCGTTCAGTTGATTTAGTTTTAGTTACAGTATAATAATTGTACATAATATGCATAAGTATTAATGTAAGTATACATATAGTATACAGAGTGTTTCTTAATATGTGAGCATTTTTTGGAGGATTAAGAGCCTGACACCAGTACGAATCGAAAAGTCTCTTACCAATTTGCGAATTGCAGCTTCGTTATCAAGATATAAGTAGTAGAAATTTGCAGGTGTGACTTCCGGCAAGCGATGTGAAGCCCGATCAGCTGTTCGTGCAGCCACGCATGTATATCCATTGACACAGGAAAAATAGCAACCTCACTGCTTGAAAATGACCTGTGAGTCTCTAGACCAGGTAGTACGAGGTCATTGGCCTGTTTGCGGGCTCTTAGATCATTTTCCAACAGTGAATGTGCATCAGTGACTGTTTCACCTGTGTATGTAAATACATGTTGCGGACGCGCCGGAAGCAAACTGCTTATATCTCGACAACGAAGCCGTAGTTCGCAAATTGGTAAACGACTTTTCGATTTGCATTTATGTAAAGATATGATTCTCAAAAAGGTCCCATATATATGGAAACACCCTGTATATACATATTATATAAGTATGCTATTGTTATGTAGGATATTACGTTTATCTTGACCACCTTAATATCTACATTACCAACAATGGTATGAAAAACTTTAGCAGAAAGAAATTCTATGTTTTGAAGAAATATATAACTATTTCTTTTCCTGAGATTATTTCTATATGTGTTTTCAAAATCATTAACTAGTAATAAGATGTTATCATATTAATGTTGCAAATCAAGAATGAAATCGACCTTCAAACGACCAAAAGTAAGAAAATAAACAAAGTTGGAAATTTTGTATCTTTTTCATTAGCTTCGACAAGTTTTCAAATTCAATAAACTAAAGATTTTCTGATATTTTTCTATCACTATAGAATGACAGTAAGAAATCCATGTAAAATTCGTATTTGTATGTCCTCCGGTCTTGCAAAGGTAAAATTAAGCGAAAATCAAAATTGTACAAGGTTGCTATTTTCCTCTGTATATAATAATTTCCTAACCTTCAGGTCATTTGAAGATCAACATATTTTTTACAATTTGTCTTTTTATTACCTATATTAATAAAAGCACAATGATATGAATATCAGTACTATAAAAAAGCGATATCAATAATGTTAAGAACACAAATGGGTATTTTTTAGAAGAATTTAGTTAATTGTAACATTAATTTTTCCAAAATAAATGATTTCAACTTGCAACATTTTTTTTATTATTAAAACTAAGAATGATATTAAGATGGTCAAGTTAAATGAAACAACTCGTATATGTATGTATGCCTATAGTATTTTACATATTTTTTATACATGTACATTATCATACATGTATATTTAGCTACATTTGTAGTTTTAATTACACGTATAGTAGTTACATTTTAGTATTTTTGGCATATGTTTTACGAGTGTATGTTTATTCAAAAGATGTTAACAAACGTTACAAAATATTGTCAGTATTTAGAGTAAGTGATATGTTATACCAAATTAAAGATTTGAGTATAATTGTACTAGTGTACATATGTTTTGAAAGTATGCTGTTTTCTTTTTGAAATGAAAAACTGTATTTAATGCAAATACGAAAAAAAAATATTCCAGAGTTTTCAATCAACTATCATGATTTATATTCTTATATACACTCTTGCTATGTAAAATTAAATAATGTTTCATTTTTTATTCATTAATATACCATTCAATTTATTTTCAGTACTCTTGCTCCCATTGCAGGTTTTGCAATGTAAAATGTTGCATTTCCAGGATATCTATAAATAGAAAAATATTTGTGAAAATAATGATCAAATAATAAAATTATGGTAATGTTAAAAAATGGAACAAAATCTGACTTGGCCTTTATATGTTCAATGACTTGAGTGATTACATCCTTTTTTAGTAACGTTACTGTACAACCCCCAAATCCTGCACCAGTCAAACGACTTCCTAAAACACCATTTACTTCCCTTGCTGCCGATACCAAGGTATCAAGTTCTACAGAAGAAACTTCATAATCATCTTTTAATGAATCATGACTTTCGTTCATTAACTGTCCAAATTTATTAAAATCTCCATTTTCAAGCGCAATTGCAGCATCAACTGTTCTTTGAATTTCTGTCACTACATGTCGACTTCTTTTTATCATTATTTCAGATGCATTCTGTGACTGTAAAACTAAAAATAAAACACAATACAAAAAAATAATTGTTAATAAAAATTTAATATAAAAATAATTTTCTCTCTTTAATATTAGATTTCTTTTTTACCTTGAATATCATTTATAGACGCTTCGCGCAAGCTTTTTTTGTTCAATATCTTTGCAGCTGCATAACAACTATCTCTACGTTCACAATATGCACTCGAACTTAATTTATGAGGAGCATTGGAATCAGTAATAAGAAAAAGGTAATCATTTATTTGCGACATAGGTATTTGTTTGGTACTAAGGTCTCTACAGTCAAGAAGAAGAGCGTAACCTTCTTTCCCCATCACAGAAATAAATTGATCCATAATGCCACAGGGAACTCCAGCAAATTCATGCTCAGCACGTTGACATGCCAATGCCTGGAAAATATTACATATATTAGTTTCTGGTCATTTTTATTTTTTATAGGTGGTATAGAAAAATCAAGTATACAGAATACTAAGATTATTTCTTTTTTTATTTGCTGTATCAAATAATTGAATAGATGTGATTGTGTTCATATTAGAGCAATACAAAAAATAAATATTTTAATTGTACCTTATCTTCTAGTTTGTTCGATTTTATACCAGTTAATGTCTCCAAAAATGTATAAGTAGCAACTTCTAAAGCAGCTGAACTGCTAAGACCAGCACCAACTGGTACAGATGACACAATTACAGCATTGAAAGCTGATACATCGCCTGGAATTGATATGTAGTCAAAGTTAAAGTAATTTAATTACATATTACTAGTTCTGGTTCAATTAAATAATAAAAAAAGAAAACAAAAAAACAAACTCACTCATAAAATATGCTATACATCCTTTTACATAGTTAGCCCATTTTGGTTCTCCTGGTTTTAAATTCTCACGAGAGACTATTTCAAACTCGACTTGTTTTTCAGAACTAACTATCTCATGAAGAGAAATAATCCTACACTTTGTCATATTACTATATTTTCCAGCTATGACTGTAATCATAGGTAAAGCCTATAAATTTAAATAATCTATTAACATAATACTCTCTTTCATTATTAATACCAGTTATGATTGAACTTTTAAAATTAACAACAATTCTACTAGTATAGTTATATGGTTCATGTGTATAAAATCAATCATTTTCTTTAACTTCAGTATTACTTAACTAATCATGATTACATTTTCTAAGCTTTTTATTGATAATAAATGTCTGTGTTCATTGTTGTCATAATTGAAATCTATAAAATTATGAATAGCCTATTATACAAATTTTACATGAAATTAATTTTAAAATGTTGTACACAAAACAGCAATCACTGCTGTGATACTAATCTATAACAATCAAAATTACGTAATCGTGGATATATACGATAAAGATTTGATATCTTTTCTAAAGATTGTATATCTTAAAATTTAAGCATTACTGATATTCAATGGAAAATATATGTATTGATAATAAAAAAATATGTGATTCCTTTCCAATTCATTTTGTGATATATAATATTTTTTACAAATATTCGCATTACAATATTCAGTAAATAACAGTATCTTACTCGAAATTCAAAATATATTTGTGTAGTAAATTTACTGAATAGCAATTCAAATTCAAAGTAATGGCGCACGTGCAGTGGAACAAAGTTAGCGAGAAACTCGTAAACAGAGTCAGCGTTTGGGGGGGGGGGGGCAACCGCCCGGGGCGCCAGATTTTTAGGGGAGTCGCAGTCCGGTGTTCCTAGTATACGAATATACAGATATACAGAGTGTCCTAAAAATGTTGTAATACCTTGAAAGGGGTGGTTCGGGAGGTCATTTGAAACAACTTTTTCCTTAGCGAAAATGTTGTCCGAGGCTTCGTTATGCAAATATTAACAAAAAACCCCGACCTATCGCGCG